CTAAATCAGTTGGAATTTCATAGATGATAGGAGCATCTTTTGTCCTTAGGGAGGCCATTCTGGGCGGACTCCTGAATAGGGATGATTAGAAGACTGGAACTTTCAGCCCTACCCTGAATACTCCAGAGAAAATAGAGAGGCTGGAGAATCAATTAATAATTAATCATACCTATGTGCCGAAGCCTCCTTAAAAATGCCTTAACTTGGGAGGGAGGGGGCGTTCAGAGATTGTCTCACTTGCTGAACTTGTAGAGGTGTTGGGAGGGTGGGGAGCTCAGAGAAAGCATGGAAGCACCCATCCCCCAGACCTCGTCCTATCTCTTCATCTAGTTATCTGTAGCCTTTATCATATCCTTTACTATAATAAACTAGTAAACATAGTGTTTCCCTGAGTTCTATGAACCACGTTAGTAAGTTATCAAATTCTTGGAGGGGGTGGGAACCATGATTTATGGCTGGTTGGTCAGAAGAATAAGTGATAACCTGGACTTGCAGTTGGCATCTGAGGGGGCAGGGGCAGAGGGATGCAGTCTCGTGGTACCGAGTTCTTAACCTATGGGGTCTCTGTTGACCCCACAAACTGTCAGAACTGAGTTGAATCACAGGACACTCAGCTGGTGTCAGAGACTTGGTCAGTGTAGGAAAAACCCACACATCTGGTCACAGTGTGAGGTAAAACCCGCACATCTGGTCTACTTTCTCCTATAGAGGAGAAACATGAGTGTTTTCCTAGAGTTCCCAAACCCAGTGACAGCTTCATCAGCAGCTCACTTTATACTTTTCCATTGCCTTGTTTTCTATATTTTTATTTAAAAGTGTTTCTTTGACTTTTGACGTAAACTTTGAAAGGTAATTTTATGAGATAAGTTAAATATCATAGAAATATAAATGCCTCACTTCACCTCCCTAAGTCATCTTTTTTTTTTTTGATGTATCTTTTCAGACACATTTTATATACATACAAGGTGTGTGTGTGTGTATCCTTAAAAATATAAGTGGAAGCATTCTATACATGTTAGTTGTGGTGGATTTTGTTTGTTTGTTTGTTTGTTTGGAGCAAAACCGATGGCATGTCAGGAAGCAAGATCTCAAATACTCCTTAGTTTATTTTTTTCTTGGAGATTGTTATTGGTTAAAGTTCTTTTAACTGTTTCATAATATTTCTTTTGAATGATTTAAAATGTGCTTTGCTATTTGCTCTTCCTTAAGTAAATTTCTCTGTTTAAATATAGAGTATACTCTGTTGTATAACATTTTAGCCAGTGTATTCTCAGCATGAGCACAAAACAACTTCTATAATGCAGAAGAAAATTTAATTACATACTATGACCAGTTTCTCTATTAGAAATGTCTTCAGCATCCCTTTTCTGCCACATACAATTTCTTTTACTGGCCATTCCCCCAAATTCTGCCCCACCTGAAAGTGTCTGTGCTGGGTATAAGATACCAGATCTGAAAACCACCTGTATATATCTGGGTTCCTAACAGTACTAACACATTGTCCTGGGCTTCTTGAGTATAAGGCTCTGTTGGATTCATCTGGGTCTTCAATGACACCAGCAGTTGTTTGTTGAAGAATGGACAAGAATAT